TCCGTTGTGGGAATTACTCATGCCAAGTTTTATTGAAACCGGCAAACGGAAAGTGGATGAAATTAAATAAATCGGATTCATCCCTTAATTTGCCACCCTTAGAGGTGGGATATTTGAATGGGTTCACTGCTGAGGTACCCCCTTTCTAACAAAAAAAGAATCATCGTAATCGGTTTACAATTGTCGGAAAAATCGCGTAGTACACACAAAAAATACAGACCAATTGAGATCCTCCGCCATTTTGAAAAAAATATGTCTTTCATTTTTAATTATTCACTTCTTTTTATTGAGTAGTAATGAACAAAAAGCGTTTTCAATTTTATTGTTAGATTCAATATTTTTATTTACTAACGTAAGGCTCTATATATATTGCGGCGTTACGGAATGGAAGCGAATTTTTAAAGTTTATGGTCAATCGTGAAACGTACAAACTAAATACGAGCCAAAATCTTCCGCGGAATGCTCGAGCATTCTTGAGCATGCTCGGATGCGTACAATATCGTTACATCGAGCGTAATAGTAATAATAATATGCCAGACAACTTTAACTTTGCCTGTAGTGCTGTAGCACAGTATTTACCTACCTTTCATCTAAGTAGATCTTGTTAATTACACCATTGCAGTTAACCTATTAGTAGAAATAGAGCTCCTTGTGACTCCTAGTCCAGGGAAGTAGCGCCACTTTACCTATTTCTGCCGCCAAGCAGTATTATTACTGCGTTCCGCTTTTGAACGATAAGGTTGCTAGTGAAATTACACGCGCATGGTACTTGTCAACTTATATCACAAAGTGACAGGCGCAGTGGCGGTGCCCCTCAAACCTTTGCGATTTAAATCTCTGGGTGCCACTACAACTGCTGTGGACAGGCGTGTCGCTTTTCGCCAGACGCACGTCTTGCTCATCCGGTCGCTTCAAATTTTAAAAAATCCATGGATGAACGGTTGCATCTTAATTAACAGGTCAAGTTTCAAATTCGTGCGGCAGCTTACAGTATATGCACACGGCGGCAGACGCGCTGTAGTGAATCGATTCAAACGCGCGCAATGTGCGTTGTAAGCAAGAAGATTATATACTTCATTTTTCATGTAGTTGCTGCATTTAAAAAATTAACTGAAATTAACAAACAAAACCTAAATTAAAACTGTCTCATATCAAAATGCGCGATACAGACGGGCAACTGCAGGTCGTATAATTATGCGCAGATAACGCGCATTTACGGATGCTTATTACAAGCCTGCAGGCAGGGAATTCCACTCCATAGCCGTTCGTCATATAAATGTCATGTCCAACTCTGCGAATCGTCGGTTCGAGTTGTACTCTAATACTAATAGTTATTATATTACCTGTATAGGTGAATAAATTATTATACAAGCTATAAAACGCGGACAAGGCGACTAGAAAGAATACAAAAAATGTGAAAGATGTATATGTAAGAATAAGGAGTTGGGTGGTTGTATAATAATTGTAGATGAATGTGTGTTTTGTTTAGAGGTGTGTTTGTGTGTGTAGATATGTAAGAAGTGAGTGGAGTGTATGGGATGCGAATGAAGCTTCATACTTGACATTGTGTTTTAATTTATTTTATTAATTGTAAGGACAGTATGCGATGCGTGCAACTTTGTAAGCGACCACTCCATTTTTAAAATATAAATAAATTAATAATTAATATACTATTATTTCTAATGTAAATTCAATTTAATTTAATGTAATTCTTAGTTATTTACTTCGTTGATAATGATAATATTCGGTTAATAAAATTCAATAATTGTCTAGGTAATGTAACGTAATGTAATTAATAATTTGTTATAATTATTAATACAAAGATCGAACACTCAAATCTTTCATAGATTTCTCATAGATGGCGCTACGACTAAAAAGTCGTTGAAAAACCAAATACAAAGACACGACGCAAGCACACAGAAAAATTCGTGAGGTCCGTTGGTTCGTTCCGTGGCTTAGTTGGTATAGCGTCTGGCACGGTATGCAAGAAGATGTCGGTTCGAATCCGACCGGATCGAAGGAATTTTTTCTGAGTGTTTTTTCTGAGTGTTCGATCTTTGTATTAATAATTATAACAAACTATTGGAGTAATTTCACAAAAAATAATTGAATATCAATTCAATAAAAATTTAGCTAATTAATAATGTTTTTATTTTATTTTATTTATTTTAATTTGATCGAATAATACTCAGGTATTTGACAGGAACTATTTTGAGCGGATATTGAACGGAGAATAAGTGTGGACACCGTTAACCAAATTAAAATAGTTCATTTCCGAATAGGTTTTACAGGAAACAGGGCAAACCGTTATATTACGTCAATCAATCAGAAATTGCTAGACTTTTAATGTTAAAGAACCTACCATTTATTTGTCCGTAGTTGTGAAAGAATTCGTCAAAAGTTTATGCCGCCAAGTAGTAATGTAAGCATTTGTGTTTCGGTTTTTGAAGGGTATGGGTGCGGCAGTAATTACCAATGGTCGGAAAAAGAGGTTCCACTTGATTTTTATTTTATAAAATACAAGTGCGCATTTGGCCTCCATCTCACATCATCGAAAGTGACGATGAGGTCGACAATCGAGCATGCGCACCTAAATAATGCTTATTCACTTTCGCCTTCAAAAGATCCAAGTTATAACGTTCAGGGAACAAGTCTGCAGGCAGGGAATTCCACTCCATAACCGTTCGCCATATAAATGTGGAAGCGTAACGCTTCGTGCGAATCTTTGAAATGTCCACAGCATAGGGGTGGAAGCCAAGCCTACGCCTAGTCCCCTGGTGATGGAAAGGAGACGGCGGAATTATATCGTGTCCGAGTCACCTATAAGCCTCTTCTACGCCACGCTTGTCATTTGAATCCAAGTGGCCAGTTGGTAAATAGCAGAGCCATCCCAAAGGTGGCAGCAGTACTCCATACGCGACCGGACTTGTGCTTGATACAGCTACCCAGCGTTTACCCGTCGGCGCGTAAATAACACGCCGTGTGCATAGGCTGTTATTCTTATTGCTTTAATTCCTAAGTTACCTAAAGTGCATGTTTACTATCAATTAGATATTTTTGCGTAGATAGTAAAGACGTAGGCGGCGCCGTTTTATGTTTTTCGACAGAACGGTGTTTGCGATCGGCATGATATCGGTGTAACAGATAATTTTTAGATGTTTAAAAAATACACTGAAATATTTGTTCTATCAACCTTGACCTGTATTTTCACAAGGATATAATACTGCTACCAAAAAGAATGTTTGTAATAAACACTTTAAAATACGAAACAATGTACTCCAATAATTGTAACTTTTTTATAAAAAAAAATCGACTTCAAAATTTCGTGGAGTTGCGTCTATTTGCCAAGTTTTATAGAAATCGGTTACCGGAAAGTGGACAAAACCGGATTCATCCCCTAGTTTGCCTCCCTAGAGGTGGAATATTTTCTTCAAATTTAATTCAAGGGATCAATAATGAAACCATCAAAAAACCAACCATAAAAAAAACCATCAAAATCGGTTCTCAAATGTATATTATAGTATATACAGTTCAATTGAGAACCTCCTCTTTTTGTGAAGTCGGTTATAAACAATGTTTGTATAAGAAATTATATTGAGATCGTCATACAACAATGAAAATTATAAAATGAAATGTGCACAATAATTATAAAATTAACAATTCATTAATAATAATCTTGTTCTTATTAAATTACATATCAAATATCATTCTTTATCAAGGATGGTAGTAAGTTGATAACAAATACATGACTCGAGGAAAAAGGAGGAAATAGTACAAAACTATGATTAAAATAAAATAGAAAATACTCAATAGCGTTACTTTTTTAGATCCATAAATTCATTTACAGAGTATAAAGAGTTTTCCAAGAAAAGGTCTTTCAGCCGGCGCGTCAATGTTTCGTCAGATGGTTCAAGTCTGAGTGTCGTATTCCAGATCTCTACTCAATGCTCAAGTCAGGATTTGAGCAGACTTGAGTATGATTTCAAGCAATGGAAATACGACCCTAATGGCAATGACTTGAGTATGATTTCTAGTGCTTTGAATCATACTCAAGCCCTGACTTGAGCATTGAGTAGAGTTCTAGAATACGAACCTGAGAGTAGCGGGTAGACGCTTATAGTAAGTAGGCCTGATGCCATACGTGGGGGAACTGTTCTCAATAAGAATAACACTTAATAATAAGAATAACTCTTAAAAACTCACGATACGGAACAGTTTACTCCAATAAGTCGAAGTGACATTCTCTAAGCTAACTCGTCGAGATCAATAATGTGAGCCCAAACGCAAAGCCCACACTTTAAGCAACTTTATGAGAAGGATATACCTATAAGTAGTTTGTAAGTTGCCTGCTTATCGGTATTTTACGGGATATACCACGGAGAGTGTGCGATGGAATTACACGATTGAATTCCTCCTTCCCCTTTCCATCACCGGGGGACTAGGCGTAGGCTTAGGTTCCACCCCTATGATGTGGATATTCCAAAGATTCGCTACGCTTCCACATTTATACGGCGAAAGGCTACGAAGTGGAATTCCCTGCCTGCAGTGTTGTTCCCTGAACGTTGTGACTTGGACCTTTTCAAGGCGAGAGTGAATAGGCATTATTTAGATGTGCATGCTCTATCGTCGACCTCATCGTCACTTTCCATCAGGTGAGATGGAAATCAAATGCGCACTAATATTTTATACAAAAAAAAATTCGCCGTCTCCATAACATTTTTAGATCTTCTTTAATGTAACGACCGAAAAGGATGTTGGCCCCGCCCCGACATCAAGAACACGCAGTTAGTTATGTGTGCCATTTTGGGGCATTCGGCTATTTGAAGTTCAAATTCAGGTCTTGTGCAACTAAGTCCTTCCAGTGATACCTGGGAACACTCGTTCGTTCCAGGTACATTGACTTTACAATACGATCCTCTGTCCATCTGTGCCCAACTATTGCGGCCTCGTTTTTTTGGATCCCATAATGCCTCTAAATAACAAATTGTTTTTTTTTTCAGTGGCGGCATAATGACAGAAACGCCAATAGTTCGATTGGAGCAGGGGCAGCTGCAAGGCCGTCTCGTTACCATACCGTCCGGCAGGAACTACTACAGCTTCCAGGGCATTCCTTATGCTAAACCTCCCCTGGGATCTTTGAGATTTAAGGTACGATACGAGAAATTCTTAACGATGAGCATTTTCTTTGGAACCAAGTCTCTCCCTGCCGTAAAAGTGAAATATTTGTCAAAAGTTAGTGATTGATCCACAGATTAGGAATTCAGGAACCTTTAGTCTTTGAAGGTTGCACTTTCTTACATTGTACTTCCTTAAAACTCCTTAAATAGTAGAATCTGCAGAAACCTCTACAATGACTAAGCAGAAAACTCAATATTAGCGAAGTCCAAAAAAGACACCGTCAATAAGCAAAAAGAAGAAGCCTTTAGCGTCTTTCACCTTTAGGTATCTTGAGTGTTGACGTCACATACATATGAGAACAGCTTTTTTTAAATACCAAGTTCCATTCAGAGCTTTAAATTAAAAGAGCTGAGGGCACTGCCTCTGAGCCCGACATCCGTGAGACGGAAATAGGTAAGTAAGGTGGTAGTACAGAAAAGGTTGTAAACCACAAATAGAGAACAATAAAAATAGACTACTCGGTCCAAGAATTTATTGTATAATTAAGGCGAAAGAAAAAAGAAAGGCTGTAACAAAAAAAGGTATAAAAACACTCCGTACTTAAATACTACAAAATCATGAGACAAACTTACCCCGAAAGTGCCGAATTATACAAATATTCATAGGTTTAAGTGGTATTAAAATTAGTACTTGATTTAGGATGGGAACTGGTAAAAAGATCAAAAGTAGATGAGCAGGAGCGCTCGCTTCAGCGATTAGGCAGAGAGTGACGACGGAACGAAAGAAAGTGAGAATGATGAGGCACGGAATCAGAGAACTATTCGAAATTTAAAAATAAGTGGCCAGGAACCAAAGAAAAGGTGATAAAAAGATGGGGATGACGATAGAGGAGTTCGCATCGTCACAGTATTTCCCTGGACGAACATTTTCACAAGGAGTTCTACTTTACTACAGGTTTTAAGACATTCTGTGTTCTAAACAAAAATTTATACCAGCCATTGAGTTCATAAGCTCTTACCTCTTCTATGAATAAAATAGGACTTTCCGACGGCCCCTCGATCGATTATATTTGTTAAGAGCGAACATGCCAAAAACGTTTTGACGTCGGCTCCGCCCAAATTTGTGAAACAAATATATGCCTGAAGTTCGCGTGACATGCGACAGGAGATGTTGAATTTTGCGCATTAAAAGTAACAAATTCGTTTTAGCGGAATAACTCTAAAACTAAAGGGATTAAAAAAAATCCGTAGTGACAGTTGTCGATCATGCATAAATATAATTAATTATCTATTTTTTGTCATAATAACGTGTAGCATTTCGAGGATAAATCGAAAAAATGTGAAAATTACAGGTCATTTGTGATTTTTATCTATCGAGGAAACTTTATTGTTTTATGTTTCTGATTAATGTCTATGCTTGAATATATCGTGTAGTTACTCATACAATATTTTATTTTTAACTTTAAAGTGGATATACCCCTCTAAAATCAAATCGAAAATTAGGAATTTTTCTTCTGCTCCCTCTAACTACAAATACAATACACACATTAAGGCCTATGTTATAAATCTATTAACTAATGTAATGAGCTAACCTAACCATTATGTAGTTAATCTCGTTATTGCACTAAACAAGACCAAAATAAAAGCAAGAGCTGATGCAAGATTTTTAAACAAACATTGTACTGACTGCAGATGTACTGTTGAGAGATTGCTTAATCTCAACAAACAATAGAGTGATATTATACTGGTGATAAGATGTTTTAGGTTCTGCGAATTATTCAAAATCTTATGTAACTGAAGTGATCTCATGTGAAGGCTGATAAGTTGATTTTGATCCTCAGAATTTTAAAAACCCAATTTCTTATATTGACGTCAGAAGTAAATACTTTGCGACACAGAACAATAAATACAGTAGAAGTGGTTAGTTAACGTCAGACGCGTGCCAACTATAGGTCTCGAAAGACATATCTGAACTTAGTCCGCCATTTTCGCTTTGTATGGTATGGTTGTGTCATTCTTTCGTGCAAATTCTCTGAAATCCTAGAAAAATGCCTTGTTGTGCTGTTTTGGAGGGCAAAAGTGATAGCCGCACCAAAAATATTATCCGTGGTTGTATTTCATCTTATTTTAATACATTTTCAATTTTCTGTTTAACGAAATGACTTATTTGTTACTAGAAACGAAAGTAAAGTTTCTGCCCCTGCAATATGGTCGCTTCTTGTTTAGAGAACTAAATTAATAACTCCAATAGCTAGATGCTAGATGGTAGCACATTGACTGAAATTTCAATATAATATCAAAACGTTGTAATTTGAAAGAAAGAAAGAAAGAAAAACGTTTATTCGCACATTTAAGTCACTTTACATCCCTAAATTATAAACATAAAATTAAATTGATAGCTATTTATTAAATAATCTATAAATAAGAATGCAAAGTGACACAAAAGAGGAAAAGGAGACGACACAGCAAAAAGTCTATCTCTGGCGAGAGAGACGCTGATTTTCAGTCGTTCCTGTTGCATCATCGACTGGATGTTGAGAGAGCGGTACATATTATTATGTTGTGTGTATCCTCTGTTGTGACATATATATTCTTAATTATTTTCAATACGAAAACCTTAAAACCTTAGTATTATATAACAATTAATATTTTAAATCTGTCAATAAGTATTTACTGCTAAAGAAACACGGACCTACAACAGCGTAATCATGTAAATAGAAATATACAACTTTAAGCATTACATTGGTATGTTAGTGCCATTGACTTACAAATAAATGGACGACGGGCCTAATACAAAAACCACGAAAAAAATGTCCCAAGTCAACCTATTCGAAATTTAAATTGTAATGTCATCGCAGTATCGCGCTGTCCGTAGAACAAATGAAGACTAAAGCGGAGTGTCGCGCTCTGTATACGATTTTAGCGCCTTACAAGTGCGGACACTTTTTAGCGCGGACCCGACGTCCATATAATTGCAAGTCAATGGTTAGTGCACATAAATATAACAAGCTGGCTAGACTAAGAAACTTCCGACATCAGAGCATACGCTGCTTTTCCAATAACATAATTTTCAGTTCAGTTTCAGTTCAATTTGTAATAATAGGTATTGATGGGTCAATACCATTTTTTTTCAACGATATGCCAACACGGTAAAGTTTAAATTATATTAATAATGAATTACGACCAATCGATATCAAGGTTTTGTAATGTTTCAAATTAAGAGTGTGTGAGTTTTGGCGACAGAGGTTAAGACACTTTCAATGCTTTCTTTCTACCGTGGGTTGCCACGTCACAATTTCAGCGTCCTCGTGTTGCCCATCGATATTTAATTAGAAACGTGTCACACTGGCCACAAATTAACAATAATAATGCGTCAGACAACCACACCAATTGTCTGGTCTTAAACTAGGAAATTTCCTGTCCTATGAGTACCAGAACCCCAAACCAGAACCAATTTAGTACTTTCATTTCCCAAATTAGTAGTGATGAAAGAGACTCGGTCTTTTAAAGCCTTTTAATAAACCGCGACTAATTTTAACGCCTCACGACTAGTCTAGTATTTTAACCCTCAAGTCATGATTCATAAGACTAAAACTGAAGACTAATTCGAGTCGAAGTCTTTTAACCCTAGGAAGCTTAAAACGACTAAAAAGACTAAAACGACTGACGCCTCATAGCCTCGAGAGTCGCGAGTCATGAGCCGTATGGCGTGATTTTAATTCTACTCACAAGGTATTTATTTTACGATTTTTATTATAAGTAAATAAACGTGAGTACACTACATACTATTTACGTAATTTTTATTTATAAACTTCGGGTTTAATAAGACATAAAATATGTATAAGTCCTTTGCAAACAACTCGAGTCGTTTAAGTCTTTCAAGTCGTTTAAGTCTTTTAGTATAACGACTGAGTCTTATTAATAAAAACTCGAACCACCAGTCTTGATTTTAGAGTCGAGTCCTGTAAAATGGAGTCGAGTCGTTATAAAACGCCTTAAAAGACTGAGTCTCTTCATTACTACAAATTGGTCCTGGGAATCGGACCTGAGACCTCTTCATCCAACTTTCAAGGTCCTAATTCTGATTATTTTAAATCATCTCAGTTGTGTGTCGATAGAGTACGAATGACAGCATTTTGTACGTGTGGTATTCTGCTAAAAGTCAAAGCTTGCCGTCGTGTGGTGGCTAGACATCGTGCGTGCGTGGTTACCACGCCGGACTACCACGCAGAGGTCCCAGGTTCGATTCCCGGGCCGGGAGAAATATTTGTATGGCCTACATTTATTTCTCTCGTAAGTTTGGGTATAATTTGTGGTTGTCTATGTGTGTTCATGGCACCCGCGACACAGGGTTTCCCTAGTGCGGGGCTATGTTGAGTGTGTTCGTTGAGTGTTCGTTATTTATTTATTTATTTTATTTTTACTATTCAACTGCCATTGCAATTTTTTGATATTCTGCTCTGCAATGGCGACTGGATGGTGTAGTCTACTAATATTATTTATATTTAATTAGACGACTAAATAGCTGATTAAACGAGATAGAAATTAAGATATGCATAGTAATTTCCATGATGGTTTTAGTAAAGCAACATCGATCATTAGTGATTGAATGAATGCCAACACTGCCATTCCTCTGACACTCTATTGAGTTCTCGAGTCCAGATTTTGATATTCGACTCGTTAGTAATTACAAATCCTGTCATTCGACTGACAAATTAGTAATGTACTAATTTTCGTATTGGAATTATCTGAATGATCATTCATTACTAATCCATAGATTCCATAGAGCATTTCTGCCTAGCCCTCTCTGACGTGGTGGATGCGTTGCAGGCGTGTCTGGAACGCGCGCGTGTAATAGCAGGGCAAATACGTTTCGAGACGACACTAATACACCGAGCTTTTCTAAGATAGAAGGATTATCCACTTTGTGGCGTAAAAGTCAGACAATAGTGAAATATTATCATAATTGCAATATAATCTTAATGAAGTCTCAATGGAATTACAATTAGCAGAATTAGGGCCCCTGATGTACGATCGATCCTAAATACATGGGATTGGTTTTAAACCCTGCTTATATTCCGAAAAGGCATACGTATCTTAATCTCAACCAGTCGATAGTACATTTGTATTGAAGAAGTAACCAGCAGTAATCGATGTCTTCTAATATAAAATCTTTTACTGTTCCAGGCACCACAGCCTCCAGAACCATGGGAAGGCGTCCGCGACGCTACATCGGAAGGCAACGTTTGCGCGCAAATCGACCAATTGATCCATAAAGAATTCATTGGGGACGAAAACTGCTTATTCCTTAACGTGTATACTCCGAATCTTGACGGAGAATTTCTTCCAGTCATGGTTTTCATCCACGGTGGAGGATTCAAGTTTGGTTCAGGCAATTCCAGCTTTTATGGAGCTGATTATCTAGTCGAAAAGGATGTCATTATCGTAACTATTAATTATAGATGTGGTCCGTTAGGTTTCTTAAGCTTGAATACTCCCGAAGTCCCTGGAAACGCTGGTTTGAAAGACATCGTACAGGCTGTAAGATGGGTTAAAGAGAACATTCACAATTTTGGTGGAAATTCCAGGAATTTGACAGTTTTTGGTGAAAGCTGTGGGGGAGTCGCTGTTTCAATCCTCACAGCGAGTCCATTGACTAAAGATTTGATCAGCAAAGGTATTATACAGTCAGGCACCGCATTAAACAGTTGGGCGTTCCAGAAAAATCCTATAGAAAATGCAAAGCAACTTGCAAAACATGTCGGTTGTGAATCTGAAGATGTGGATGATGTTTTAGAGTTCCTGACAGCTACTTCTGTTAAAGACCTAGTCCACGCTCATAATAACATGCACACTCCTGAAACATTCCTCACCAAAGGAACAAATCTTTTTGCTCCGGTAGTCGAGAAAGAGTTTCCAGGAGTAGAAGCAGTATTGACAGAGGCGTTTATAGATTTGCTGACATCTGGACGTGTTGCAGAAATCCCAATCATGATTGGCTCAACAACTCTCGAGTTCACTCACGAAAGAAATGTAGACGACTTGCAAGCTTTCATTCCGGAAGACTTGAACATCGCAAGAAATTCTCCTGAGGCTATTGAAATTGCTGAAAAGATCAAGCAACTATATTACAAAGGCAAGGGACCCGGCGTCGAAAGTTTGGTTGAGTATTTCGAATTGTTATCTGATAAACTGGTGAATATAGACACGCATAGATACGTGCAGTACTTAGTCCAGGTTTCGAAGAAACCTGTTTATTATTACAAATTTGATTACGTCGGAGAATTGAATGTTTCGAAAAAACTAATTGAGAGTTTCGGATTGAACCACGCTGCACATATGGATGACCTTGGTTATCTTTTCAAGAACGACTTTCAAGAAGGTGTGCAACCAACTTCCCAAGATATGAAGATGAGGGAACGAATGCTAAGGCTTTGGACCAACTTTGCTAAGTGTGGGTAAGTATCTTGATCCCAATATCGGCCTATACAGACAATTAAGGACTGACACCCAAATCCAAACTTTTAAGGTTAGAGTGAATCTTTTAGACAAATCCGTACATCGACGATCATATCCTATCAATTATTCAGTTTTTTCTCTGTCAGATTTGCCCCAATTAAAATTCTAATTAGAATATTTTAAATAACGTAGGCCTTGTAAACAACATCACTAATAATATTATAGCAGCTTTCAGTTATATTTACTGTTTTGTGATAGTTTTATTGAACATGTCATACTCTGCTGTTTCTGAAGACGGAGGAAAATTACATTTACAGAGTTCTCAGTGTTCGTAAAATGTTCAATAGTCATGTAGTTGTTATCGACAGTTTTATCGACAGGATATGAAAGAAGGTAAAATTTGGCGAAAAATATTTGAATTGAGAATGTGTTTATGAATATGTTTTTTTCTTTGTGTTTTTAATAGACATAATTCTAAATATAGTACGTGGGCTGCACTATAAGTTACCGGAATGAATAATAAAAAAATACTATTATAATAAAAATACGAATTTATTGTTTCTCAAAATATTCTCCGTTAGCGTTAATGCACTTTTTCATACGAATGAACCAATTTTGAAAACATTTATGCCATTCCTCCGTGACAATCTCTGAAACATATTTTTCATACACTTCGACAGCCTCTTCAGGTGTGAAAATCGTTGATCGAGTAACTGGTTCTTAATTTTTGGAAATAAATATAAGTCACAAGGTGCCAGGTCGGGACTGTACGCGGAATGGCTCATAAGGTCAACGTTGTTCACCTTTAAAAATTCATTTGTCTGTCTAGCCGTGTGAGAATTAGCATTGTCGTGGTGCAAGATCATACGTCGTTTACGGTTATTTTTACGCAATTTGTCAAAAACTTCCGACAAACAAATGGTCGTGTACCAGTCACTATTCACGGTACAACGATTCAACGATTCTCCAAAGCAACAGTAGCCACGTGTTCAGTCTTATTAAAAAAAGAAGCAATCATCTGCTTAGAGGCACTTTGCACGCGCGCCACTTTGGTTGGTTTCGGCTCATCTCGAAAGAGCCATACAATCGATTGCTGCTTTGTTTTGGGATCATAACTATAAATCTTATGTTTCGTCACCTGTTACTATATCCCACACCAAATTGGACGCCCCTTCGTTGAATCTGGTAAGCATAGCATTGCACCAAGTAACGCCATACGTTTTTTGAGCCTCAGTCAAATTGTGTGGGATCTACCGAGAGTACAGCTTTTTCACACCCAAATGTTTGTGTAGTATTGATTGTATTTGTCTCATGCCTATGCCTAAAGGTGCCCAAATCTCATGGTATGTCACATGCCTATCTGTTTTGATCATACGGCGTACAGCATCGATACACACGACCGCGTTTGAATTCTGCAAACCAGCTATAAATAGTCGTCTTGTATGGTGCTTCATCGCCAAAAGCAGTTTGAAGCCGAGCGAAGCTCCGTTGAGCAGTTAAATTACCGAGAGCACAGCTTTTTCACACCCAAATGTTTGTGTAGTATTGATTGTATTTGACTCGTGCCTATGCCTTGAGATGCCTGAATCTCATGGTATGTCACGTGCCTGTCTGTTTTGATCATACGGCGGCAGCATCGATGTTTTTGTTGTTCACAGCAGAGGATGGGCGACCATCACGAAATTCGTCACTGAGATTCACACGACTGCGTTAGAATTCTGCATACCACCTATATTTAGTTGTTTGCATGGTGTTTGATCACCAAAAGCAGTTTGAAGCCGAGCGAAGTTCCGCTGAGCTGTTAAATTACACTCTATTTGATGACGCCACAGTGTAAAAACACTTGTTTTTACACTGTGGCGTCACTTGCCAGTCAAATGAAACAAACTGTATACTACAGCCAAAGAGTTCCATTTTCAAATGTTGTAATTACTTTTTAAATATTGTTTATGTAAGTGGCCAATTCCGAAAACTTATAGTGCGCCCTATGTATACGTATGTGAATATGAATTGCCAATTTTCGTATCAATTTACAAAAATTGACTATTCAAGTGAACCTGTGCCCAGCAGTTAGATGAATAATGGGCCGATGATGATACAAATTAAACAAGTTTGGCTATTTATTCCATAAGCGTAACTAACATTCAACCAAGAGTCGATAGAATATTTATTGATTGCAATCACTAGCTGCTTGCAAGCGGACAACACTTGAGCTATGAACTCAAAAAACTCAAAACTTAAAAAAAAACTGACTGTAGTTAAACATAGTTGTAAGTAACTGCAAACAATGTTATTTAAGATTAGTTTTATAATTATGTTCATGTAGATAAATAAAAATCTTTTTATTATTTATTTAATTTTGCTAAATAACTTCGGCTACTATTGACATGATTACAATATGATAATTGTTTTGTAGGAAGTAGGTTTCATTCCTAATCGCTGCTTCTTTAGACACTCTTCCTGCAGTAGTTTACGACATCACTTCTGTCTAAATTTGTACAGATACTCTCATGAATTTTCTCCTTGTTACAGTAACCCGACTCCCGAAGAAAATCACTACCTGACTGTTACCTGGTTACCGGTATCTAAAGACAATCTTTACTACCTGAACTTAGGCAATGAGCTTTCCCTTGGAACGAACCCAGATTGTGAAAAGATGGAGTTTTGGACTTCCCTTTACAACAAACACTATAAGATCTGGGACCATCCCAAGGTCAACAACGAGGAAGTACCTAGAAAGGAACCAGAAACCTTAACAGTTGTTCAAGGAACCACTACATTTCATGAACCTGACGCAGTAGATACGGTACCAGAACCAACAAAAACCGAAGAATTGAATGTGATTGATGAACGTATAGTAGTCGAAGAACCAACAGTAATTGAAGAACCAAAAGTTGTTGATGAACCTAAAGTTGTTGATGAAGAACCGAAAATAGTTCTGGAAGACCCAAAATTGAACCAAATCGACCCTGTCCGGGTTCAGGAAGAAGCCATTAACCAAGAAACTAACAACGGTTCTATTGAGGAACCAAAACACATAGAAACGGTTGAACAACCAGGAACAAAGCATATGAATGGCAATGGAATAGATAAGAAAGCTACACCGCGTACCTCGAATGAAATTAAAATGGTGCAAAACGCAAATGGAATTCCCAAAGATGTAATAAGAGCGAATGACCCCCCAGAGGACGACTTACCCAAAAATATTGGCGTTAACAAATTCGTGAATTTCTTCGAATCACTTGGAGGTAAAAAGTAATCGATTTGAATTATAACGTACACCACATTTGTAAGGTTGATATTCGGAACAACGCTGCAGACTCAAACTACAGACTTTAACGGCAGAGAGCAGTCCATAGTTGCGTCACCTGCGGTCTGCAGTGCAGTTCGGGATTGCACCTGACAAAAAACCTGTCACTTGTAGATATTACGTGTGTAGGACTTCAATACGTTGACAGTACGTATACACGAGTGCATGGCCAAAGCCGAAAGAGGGTAAATAGTAAAAATCATTGTTTGATGTGAAATCTAAAATTTTCTCTCCCTTCTCCGTTGACTCAGCGATCCGAAGTGGGTCATGGCTCTGTCTAGTGCGGTATCCTTCCTGTTCTCTGCGTGTAGGACGTCTCATGTAGGCCCTTCTCATCTCCCTATAAACTGGCACCCTTTAGCCAACGGAGTCCTGCAGACTTGTTTATCTAAAATAGTCTAAATTATTATTTTTTCTTTCAAAGTCGTTCATCACCTTTATACGTCATAATTTCATAAAACATAGATTTAGAAAAAATATTAATATTATGCTGTATTTATAACATTCCATTATTATGTTCACGAGAAATTTTTAATTTAAATTAATGTAGTTATTTATAATTAACGAAATTTATTTTTTGACTATGTCATTCAAGGACTGTACTCGTAGCATGATTTGTATTCTGCTCTCCTTGTCATAACTATAGTATAAAGATATAAATAAGATCATTGGGTTTAGGTAATTAACTAAAGCGTGAAACACAGAAAACGGGTGCGGGACGGGCCGGGTCGGGAGCACGGCGGGTATAATTCCGTGTATTTTTTTTAAATGTGAGCAACACACCGATGTAAATTCATTTTCAAAGAGGACTGTATCAGCGACCGCCATCTTGAATGTTTGATAACCAACTGAATGATGTGCAGCGTCTTCACAGCACATCAGTGAAACACAGCGTGTGTATGGAATGCCGCATCTAGTATGCTAGAACATAGATATCGTTGAGTTTTCGCTTTATTGGTACGCAACAACAACGTAGTTGACATTTTTTGGACGCCAATATCTCGAAAGTTAACAAAATGCAAATGCATTAGTTATGATAAGGAGTACAGTATTATTTTAAAGACGTAACAATTTTGTCGTTCAAAAACAATTAAGAATTATGTAGTAATGTTTGTAATTATTTAAAATTGTAGATATGTGCCAATATTGAATCCTAGTATATTTTATAAAGTAATAAATACTTATTGTGAATTAAGAAATAATTGTTATTTTATAGTCATTTATTGTTAGCATTATTTTTATAATTATTATTGTGTAATTAAATAAAAATTACGTATATTTCAAATGTAGTTTAGTTCTGGTCGACTTTACTGGTACAAACAACGGCAAATTTTTATTTATTTGCCGAGAAAACTTCTTTTTCTGCATCTGAAGCCATGTAGATGAGAGCTTCTAAGGTCCACAATAAACTTAAGAGGTCTATGCTATGGGTTATCTATTAATTACACAAGTTCTACGAAAAATTGTTTTGAATTTTGTCAGTCATACCAGTGGTATTTTTTGGGTTGGATACGGGAAAAACAATGAAAAAAATCCATCACTTGTTGTATATATATGTACAAATCACGTAATTTTGCACTTTTTTGACATACGAAGAATACGCACATACAACTGCCACCTTACCTATTTCTGCCGCCAAGCAGTAGAGTGAGCATTACTACGTTCTAGTTCCGAAGGTAGCTCTAGGTAGCTGGTGAAACTACAGGCACATGGGCCTTGTCAGCTTATGTCTCAGAGTGTCGGACGCAGTGGCAGTGCCCCTCAGATCTTTATGATTTAAAGCTTCTCAGAGCTTAAAAAATAAATTTGTTGTGTAGTTTACATAGCGTGCCTTATTCCAGCGTGACCATGGTCGAGTTTTGGAAATGTAACTAGACAGAAAAAAAATCGCTATTTAGTCGGTTCTAATCGCAAAAAAACTAGATTTAGTCGGTCCGCCGTTCAAAAGTTATGAGGGTGTTTTACTGTCCACGCTGGAATAAGCTTATTCCAGCGGCACCATTTCTCAATCTCGAGAACCACAACACCTAGCTTAGATCTGAATACACTAAAAAAAGTCATGATTTAGTCGGTTCTAGTCGTAAAAAACTAAATTTAGTAGTTACGCCGTTTGAAGTTATTACGGTGTTTTACTGTCCACGCTGAAATAAGCTTATTCCGGCGGCATCATTTTTGAATCTCGAGAACTACAGCTCCTAGCTTAGATTTGAATGAACCCAAAAAAAGTCGGGAAATTTTAGAATTAACTGGTAAACCGTGTGCTCGCGCTATTTTTTTTCTCAACCCGATATATGCAACAAGGATTTCTCCATTCCCTCCCAGGTGGAGCCACTATGCGTGGAGCGCTTAGGGGATGGAAAAAAAATAATAATGGACAGGAGCTGGCCCTATGTACGGAATAAGACAATAACATGTTTATGTACGCACATATCATACTCTCTATAATGTGTTAACTGCCTCCATGGCCGAACGGTTTCCATGCCGGACTGCCACGCAGAGGTCCCAGGTTCGATTCCCGGGCCGGGAGAAATATTTGTATGGCCTACATTTATTTCTCTCGTGAGTTTGAATTATGTCGGTAATATATGTGGTGTACTTTATATACACTACAATATTCAGGTTTTTTTCAGGGTGCAATCGCACCCTCTGGACAGCATCAACGGCCCCCAATTGCTTCGGACCTCGGAACCTACTGTCTCTTCAGCGACTATTAGGAGGCGGTAGGGACCACTTTGGGAAACTATGCCTTAGAGGTTAGGTTAGGTCGCGGATTGTTTTGTTCCGGTACTCATCACATCAGTAGCAACCCGTTTATAAGTCCTACTGCTGAGCAGGGTTCTCCTTTAAGGCGAGTGCTTTTAAGCCATAGTCAGCCATATTGGCCCAATGCTGATAGGACAGAAAGATGCTGCATTGAGCGACATTAATTTACAAGAAAGATATTTCGGAGTGCAACCCGCACAAATTACACTCAAACTCACGAGAGAAATAAAATGTAGTCCATACAAACATTTCTCCGTTTACGTGGATTCAAGAATTGCTACCTATTTGTTACCTTTTTAACCGAGTTCAAAAAAGGAGGAGGTTCTCAATTAGACTGTATGTTTTTTTGTATGTATGTTACGCGATAACTCCGGTATTTGTGAACCGATTTTCATGATTCTTTTTTTGCTGTACTTCCATAGTGGTCCCATTCCATTTTGAAGAAAATCATCCACCTCTAAGGGTGGCTGCTCACGCATGAAGATTCATTTTTATAAATAGCGTCCAACTTTAATTTAGGAGCAATTATTTTAATGGTTGATTTTGCTATTTCTCCACTTCAAGGCGTTTTTCTCTGATTATACTTTGAGTAGTGAGAACCGATTTTTATTATCTCCATTGTCAAGTCCTGTATAGTGGCGAACTAGGGGATATTTCAATAAAACTTAGCATATATACATAATTCCACGTACTTTTGAGGTCGGTTTTTTTAGTAAGCTGTACTGAGATTAATTAAATAACGGCTACCTTTGATATATTTTGAGAAATTAAATAAAATGATCCGCCGTTCTGATATCAGGATGGCTTCAGTATGAAGGGAGCAGAGTTTCCAAAAGTATGTATGTTTACGCAGGAATGCAGGGTGTGAAAGAAAGGTCTTCTGTTCGTTTTCAATATGCTGAATGTAATGTACTTAGAAATGAATACAAAAATATAATTATATTAAACAATGCGTCTGATGCGCTAATTCTCGCAGAGTGAGAAAAAAAGAAAATGACAGCTCCGATGCGAGGCGAAGTGTGGGAGGCGGGCCGGCTGCGCTTTTTTGTCGCGTGCGTTAACAAGCTCCTCGGGGTGGAACATTCTGTTCCACTGCATCAGTTATAGGTAGTACACCTAGTCGGTTGTAGGCTCGGGTCAGGACTCCCAACTTAGTGTAGACGTCAGCGACGCGTGGGCAGCCATCTGAAGATCCATGTAGCTGCACGATGCGGCCCAGCAACCAGCGATTGGGCGGGAGGCGGTCGTCGTTGATCACCACCATGTTTCCGATGCTTAGCTGTTTTTCACCTGGTCTCTGCCACTTGACTCGTTTTTGAAGCTCTGAAACGTATTCTCTGTAGTAACGGCTCCAGAACTGATCAATGAGCGCTCGTATTCGTTTGTAACGAGGCAAGGTGCCAATGTTTGCTTCGTTCGTCAAGCGAACCACAGGAGAAGGCAACATCGTGAGAGAACGTCCAAGAATGAAATGAGAAGGAGTCAGAGGTGCAAGGTCGTTTGGATATGAGGAGAGGGGGGTTAAGGGCCTTGAGTTAAGAATTCCTTCGATTTGTACTAACAGAGTGTTAATTTCCTCATAGGTAAGATGAGTGAGAGATAGCATTCTTTTTAAATGATGTTTAACAGACTGCACTGAACGTTCAGCTAAACCGTTAAAGTGGGGACTGTAAGCTGGCGAAAATTTAAATTTAATTTGCTGTTCCGCTGCATACGCACTTATATCATTGCATTTGGACTTAAGAAACCTTGAAAATTCATTGCAAGCACCAACAAAGTTGGTTCCATTGTCCGAGTATATGCTGAGAGGTTTGCCTTTACGAGCGATAAAACGATTTAGAGCGGCAATGAAAGCCTCCGCGCTTAAATCAGTTACAAGTTCTATGTGTACAGCCCTTACAGCTTGACAAACGAATACATAAACGTATGCTTTTATTAAGCGGCAACCTCTACCTTTTCTGTCAGCCAGTAAAACAGGACCACAATAATCAGTAGATACATGACTAAAAACAAATTCAGCCTGAAGGCGATTCCTTGGCAAATTACTCATTTTAGGTTGAATTGACCTTCCCGCAAATCTACAACAAATTATGCATTCATGTGTCACTTTCCTTGCTATATTCCTACCACCTTCGATCCAGTACTTATGACGCATGACTGATAGCAGCAACTGGGGTCCGGCATGCATGAACAACCTGTGATAGTGCCGGAACAATAACAGAGTTACATGATGAGCTGCATGCAGTAGAATGGGGTGTTTGGTTTCATAGTCATAGTTGGAGTTGCTTAATCTACCACCGACACGAACGACCTGCTCCTCAGCTAAGAATGGATTCAAATTTTGTATTTGGGACTTGCATGAAAGCTGCCCTTTGTGAAGGAAACTATTATATTCTTTAGCGAAACAATCCATTTGAACGATTTTACACAAGAGGAGACTGGCGTGATTCAGTTCAGGCACCTTCAGGTATCCTGCATTTCTATTTTCACGGTTCCTGCAATTATAGACGAATCTGAGCAGATATGCAATCACTCTTTGTAACTTGCCATATGCTGAAAAACGAAGAATGAAATCATTCTGATCAGTAGCTAAGTTACAACTAAGCTGATGTACATCAGCATCAATTGAGAAAGTAGGTGGCCATGCCACCACAATTTGGAATTTTTAAGCTGTTTGGCGTCGCAGCCGCGAGAGCCAATGTCAGCAGGATTGAGCGCAGTAGGTACATGCCTCCACTGGTCCGAGTCAGTGGATTCAGTTATTTCATTTATCTTAATCAGAACAAAGGCCTTGAGGCTCGCCCTTGGTGTTCTAATCTAACCCAAAACCACCAGAAGTGGCAGCTGTCTATGTTAAGTCTTAAAGACCCTTTTACAATATTTGCTAACCGGACCGCCAATAAAGCACCGCTAAGCTCCAAGCGCGGTACTGTCATTCCTTTGAGCGGTGCAATCATTTTAGCTGCAATCAAATTAATCACAATTTTACCACACTCTGTAACTGAGCGTAAATAGATACAGGCACATACAGTGCCTGCAGAGAAGCGTCACAAAAGGCATGTAACTCTATTCTTTTGGGGGATTCGCACAGTGCATGTCGGGGTATAATGATCTCATTCAACACCGTAATTGACTTTAAAAATGTTAGCCAGTTATGCTCTGTTTCAATAGGTAAATTTTCATCCCAAGACAATTTAGAAGACCAGAGCTTTTGCATGATAAGCTTTGCTTGCAGTATGCAAGGATTGACGAGGCCGAGAGGATCAAAGATCTGACCAATAGTGGACAAAACCGACCTTTTGCTAGACCCTTTGATACTGTCTGGATTTGTGTCTAAACTTTTTGAGAAGAATAAACAGTCCGATTTGCAGGACCATCGTAGGCCCAGCGTTTTAGCATGGTCATCACTTGT